CTGCTGCTGCTGCTGCCGCTGCTGCGGCTACTGCTGCTGCCGCTGCCGCTACCGCTACCGCTACCGCTGCCGCTGACGCTGCGGCTACTGCTGCTGCTGCTGCTGCTGCTGATGCTGCTGCTGCTGCTACTGATTTTGCTGCAACGGCGACGGCAACGAATACTGTTGCGACGACAGACGACGGCTGAATATTCCACTACCGCCACTGCCACTGCTGGTGCCACCGCCGGAAGCAATTCTCAACATCCCGTCCCGCGGCAGATGCTTAGTTGACTGGGAAGTTGAGTGTTTGAAGCATATCCCTTCCCAAGGGAAAGCTCGAAATCCAGCTGATTTGCCTTTCATGTCGTTTCCTGCCCTTCAGAAACAGAAGCCTAATTGGCCTGGAGTTGTCCGAGAGTAAGAGTCCAAAGCCATCGTCGTTTCCCTCCGAGGTCGATCGTGAACAACCCAGTGCCCTGGCATTGACGGATGGGCGGAAGAAACGCAGCGTCGACTTTGTTTTCCCAAGCAGGTCTCCAGCTCCGTAAGCACGGTCAAAAGCAGCTGCTCCAGACCAGAAGACAGTGTCGCTTGATCCCAGGTGTGTGGTTTCCAGCCCTTGGCTTCAGGAGCGTCCCGTGCTTTCAGGGGGCTGGGTTCCGTCGCTCCTTACGCCAAACCTGCTGCCTCTCTCGAGAGCCGCCAGTCTTTTGACGGCTGTAGGCCGGTGGCCTCGCTCGCTTTCCTGTCTTAAGGGACAGGGTTTTCCCTTGGTGTATCGGGATACCAAGAACAGGAATCTTCACAGCAGCGGTGGGGGATTCTAAAGCAGCAACGACATAAATCCACGGAGCAGTTGTCCGACATAAATCCATGGACCTGGAATAGTTGTCCACTCGTATAATAGGCAATACATATATACATGTACATATGCATGCATGCGGGCATGTATGTACAAGTATAATGTAATGTAGTGCGATGTAATGCAATGCAATGGAGCGTAGTGTAATGTAACACAAGGCCTTCATGGCATGGCATGGCATGGCATGGCGGGGCATGGCATACGTAAACAAAATCAACCGACGACGCAGAGCTTCTAGTCGACGCCGTCGTCTTCCTGGTACCCATCTTTCTCCTGCTTCTCCTCTCCACTGTTTCATCACCGTGACATGCTGTGACTATCGGCATTTCGTGATCAGCACCATCATTGTCAACCCTCATCATCATCATCATCATCACCACCATCATCATCACAACCACCATAGTAATAGTCGTCATCGCCACGGTGACCATCATTGTCACCACCTTCTCGTTATTCTGGTTATTATCACAATATTTGCCAATGCAAGATGCCCACAGAACCGTGACCACAACACTTGTCGCCATGGTCGTCGTCATTACCCTCCTCCTCCTCCTCAGCAGCATCCGCCGGATTCATGTTAACTTTGGTAGCAGGAACTCGCAGCACAACGCTGTGGGGATCTGGGACATACTTCGCACGGAGCTTAACTCTTGCATATCTGGTTCAGGGGGTACCAACGGGAGTCGACGGTTGCAGTTCCCGGTGTCTGGGACTGGACCTGTCAGGCTTCGCAGTCTTTACGGGGATCAGGAGACTGTCACGGTGCTGTTTCGGATATTGCTGGCCATATTACGAGAGCCTTCTATGCCTCTAAAAGCTTCTCTCCGAGTCCCTTACCCAAACCCCTAAACCTCTGAAACCTTTACCCGACATCGCTCGAAACTGCCAAGGCCCGGGACGCCAAGTACGTGGCCGACGGGGGCTTCTGCGGTGCCCCCAACGCAGATGGCACGCGCAGGATCGGAGCCTGCGCCCTTGGGCCAGCTATGGCGTTGCAGAAGTGGGGGTCTTGAGATGGCTGCCGGGCTGTTCGCATGGGGGCCTCTAGATGAGTTTGAGTTGGGGCCGCAAGCTTTATAAACCCTAAACTCTCCGAAAGGGGAGATCGCTGTTTACGCCCGCATGTCGCCACTCAAAAGCGATGACAAAGGCCTAGGCCCCGAACAGTCCTGAGAGCCTTAGGCCCAAAACGACCCTACCAAGGAGCCCTCAAATCCTTATCGTGGCATGCGTGTCGTAGACTGTTAGACTATACACTTATGACAGAGCCCCCCTGAATACCCATAATGCCCAAAACCCCGACACCCCCTTGAGAGGATGCTCATGTGCCTACTCATCATGGGCATCTCTTGCCTCGGTGATCCGGCGCACAAGGCGCGCAGACCCGGGCTCTCCCCCCTTTCTGTGCATCTTCGTCTCCGTGATGATCATGAGCAGCTTCGTGCCAACAAAGACGCTCGCTCTCGAACCCCCAACATCCCCCAGAAAGCAGCTGAAGCTCCCAAAGCGCCAGCGCAGGGCGTCCTCCCCTTCAGGCACAAGCCGCCGCCTGGGGGCCTGGAGGGTCCTAAGTGCACCGGTACGTTAGGCTTCGTGGTGATGGCCCTAAACCCTAAACCCTAAACCCTAAACCCTAAACCGACGGTGCTAAGAAAATCCGATGTGTTCACTTCAGACGTGGTCTTGCCGTGGAGATTCAGTTTGGGCAGCATGCTGTGCTGCAGTGCCCGCAGAAGCCGTGATCTCGCCGCCCTCCTCAATCCAGAATGCAGAACCCGATGTAAAGTCACAGGACCCGGGCTCCTCACCCTGAAACCCTTAGGCCAATGCCCACTAAGCCTCTAACTCGGGTTCCCACAGCTCGAAGCGCCCAGGCATCGCTACAACAGCTCCGTGGACTGCTTGGCGAGCCCCGAGGTCATGGTGGCCCGGGCACTCGGACGTTTGGAATCATGGGCTCCGAGCACTTGCAGGTTTTCGGATTTGGGGTGTAGGGCCTCGGGTTTGGGGTCGGTTCCTACAAAGGGGGCCTACGGGATACATCATGGAAAGAACTACACTTAGATATCAGATAAAATGCCGGCATCACGGAGTCGCCTTCAACAACTTAAATCGATGGGTGCTGCAATAGAGGGCAGGCTCGAGGCGCGTGCTCCTAGTTCAAACACCAAGAAGCCATGGGTGAGCACTCTGAATTGTGGCCCCTTGCCATACGCCCTAAGCCCTGTAAGCCCTGAGACCTTACCCCTGCAGCGAAATAGTCGCGACTGCCAAGATCCAGCAGTCGGGTGCCGCCATGCCGGCTTACGCCCGGCTCTCTGGGTTTTTGAGCGTGCCAGGGGGCTTGCTGGTTCGACTGTCATGCGGGCACGGCTTCAGCGATCTAGGCCCGGGAGCACGCTTTGGCTTTCAACCTACATGTCTGCAAAGCAAATCCAGCAAGTGGGTTGGACTATTACACCACCGCTGCTACCGCCGCTGCTGCTCCTATTGCAGCTGCTGATGGCAGCTGCTGTTGCCGTTGTTGCTGCTCTTGGTTTTTGCCTTTGTTGCTGCCGCTGCTGCTGTTGTTGTTGNNGTGGTCGTCGTGGTCGTCGTCGTCGTTACTTTCTGCCTTTGCTGTTGTCCTTGTTGGTGCTCATGACGGCCCCGCAAGGTGATGAGTGGTGGCAGCTTATGACGATAAGGACAGTGGCCACCAAATGCCCAGAACCGAACAAGTCTACTGCAACTCCCAACTCCCTTTCTCTCCCCTGCTGGAAGCATGATCACTGGGATGTTGATCACCTCGCCTCATCCTGGGACTTCCCGCAGACCGTCGGGGTGCTCAACCTAGAATCCCGAACCCTAAACCTTGTTCTAAACTCCTCCCTACCAGAAGTAGCCCTCATCTCCCTGTGCCAAGGTCATCACTTTTGCCTGAAGCTCCGGGCTGGCAAGGCTTTCCCGTGCACCCGGTCTGAACCACACCCTAAACCCCTCCGATTCCTTCCAGCTGGCTCCTTTGAAAGAAGTGGCGTAGAGTAACCCCTCAGCGCACAGGGGATAGCGCCCTTGAAGCAAAACCTCCAGGGAGCACTGGGGGATACTGCCCACTCAAAGTGCCACTTTCCCTCCATCCCCAACCGGAAGCCCCAAAGGCAAAGCCGCAGAACCCTGAAGCCCCAGAGCCCCGAAGTGCACCTCCAGCCGGACCATGGTCCGTTTTCCGGGGCAGCCCGGTCGACTCCGTTTCACGGCCACGAAGGGCTCCACTAAGAGCGGCGGAGGGCAAAAGGGTTGGGGCGTAATAGGCGTTAAGTTAGGACAGTCAGGATTCAGGACTCAAGGTCACATTGATGCTTCCGGTTTCTCGGGCTTTTAGGATCAAGCTAGACTGTAAATGAGAGCAACTCTTGCCGATAGTCGATGTGGGCATGTTCTCAATTATGATCCCTTTGCATATTTCATTCCTACCAGTATTACGAAACATCGGTACGTTGTGGGCCACCCTGATTAGAAGAAGACACACCTGTGGGGGGGGGGGGGGGCTTTCGGGAGNNAGATACCCCCTAAACCCTAAACCCCAAAGTCATAAAGCTTTCGCCATTTTCCGTGAGTCTTGAAATATCCGGTCTAGGCAGGAGGATGTATTCTTGCCAGCGTCTCAGAGCATCTCAAAGAGAGAGGCCTTCGGCGACCCGCATTGAACGTTTTGCGAATTTGGGCAGCTGCCATGCGATGTCTGGGCTACAAAGAGCTTGACCCTGCTGGCGGCCCCAGCTGCACAGTGAACTTGGGCAGTCAACCCTCCTAGCCCCGAGTAGTACAGGCTTTGAATTAACTCCTGAGCACTCTGCCGTAAGGTTGAGAAGGGTAGTTGCAATTTCACGCCGTACTTTTCGGTCCAGGTGATGCCTGGCCTCGAGTAGAGTTTCCGTAGCCTGGGCTCCTGGTCACCAAGTTGTGGTAACAAGGGGAGCAGTCCTTCAGCAGGCGCAAGCATCTTAACTGGAACAGAGGCGACCAGAGCAACGCAACAGTGGGAGAGTCGACTAGTTTGCCTCCACCATCAACCACCATCGTCATCCTAATCCTAGTCATATCCCTAAATCACAATCACAGTCATCATCACCAGCATCGTCATAGTCATGATCATCTTCATCGTCGTCCTCATCGTCCTCATCGTCGCAATCATCGCCACGTCGCCATCGTCAGCATCATCGTCAGCATCATCGTCAGAAATAATAGTCATCACCATCATCATCATCATCCTCCCCATCGTTCTTATTATCCACATAACCATGAAGACCGTCATCGCCACTGCCCGGCGACATCAGCATCACCACCATCATCACCAGCACCACCGTTGCCTCTTCGTCCACATATTCTAAGAGAGCCAAAGGGTCGACTGCCCTGGTTATTTGGTTTGCCCGGGTCTTTCGCTTCAACCCTCCGCCGGGGCGGCGGCAGAGACAAGGCCTCAACCGGCGCGGGGCTCAGAGAGGTTTCTTTTTTGTTGTCATTGCTCTTATTCAGAATAATTGTTGGTCTGAGTCAGAATAGTTATTGTTCTCACTACTACGACGACGACGACGACTACCGCTCCTTCTGCTACTGCTACTGCTGCAGCTCCTGCTACAACAGCAACAACAACTACTACCAGTACTACTCCTCCTCCTACTCCTCCAACTCCTACTCCTGCTCCTACTCCTCCTACTCCTACTCCTACTCCTACCCCTCCTACTACTCCTACTCCTACTCCTACCCCTCTTACACCTACTCCTGCTATTCCTGCTCCTACTCCCACTCTTACAACTGCACCTGCGAGTACTGCGACTCCTACTCCAACTCCTTCTCCTGCTCGTGCTCTTGCTCCTGCTCCTGCCCCTCTGCTGCTGCTACTGCTACTGCTACTGCCAGTGCCACTGCTGTTGGAACTTTTGCTGAGACTACTACTGCTACTGCTGCCACTGCTGCTACTGCTGCCGCTACTTCTACTGCCAGTGGTTATGTTTCTAAAATGGAAATGTTCCAGCGGCGACGTTAATGTAGCAACACTGGCCAGATGTGGCTAGGACCAGGCGTCAGAGCTCCAGAGCTTCAGCTTAAGCAAGCAATTAGAGGGTTTAGGGTTTAGGGTTTAGGGTTTCCAGCCAGTGAGCCCGCAACGAGCTGTATTTCAAGACAAGTTGTATTTTCGCAACCACACCCTTGCACGGCGAAGTACAATTCCGCCTGTAAAATCCGATTCCGATAACTTAGGCCCCTCTTTTATTGACCTCAATTATTGGGTGCTTGAAACCTTGTCAGTTTTGACGGAAACACCATAATACCCGATTGAAGCCTTCAAATAACATGTACACAGTCGCTACATTCTTCAGCACCCTAAACACGCCTTCAAAGCTCCCAGTAAACACTAAGCCCGAAACCACGAGCCGTACCCAGACCTTAAACGCTACTAAAACCACCCAAAACCCTCAACCCTGAACCACACAAAACCTCTACACCCCAAGCCCTAAACCACAATAAGCCCTAAACCCGAACCCTAAACCCTAAACCCTAAACCCTAAACCCTGAACCCAAACCCTAACCCCTGAAGCCGCAGCACTGGCCCAGGCAGGAGCGGCTAAGCGGAAGAGCCGCCGACGTGTCCTCCGGCCAGGATGGCACCGACATGAACGTACATAATACGTATAATGTGTATATCTATATTGTATCTATATTTTTTTATAATATATAAAATTTTTAATAGTGTATATATATATATACAGATATAATGGTATATGTATATATATATAGATATAATAGTGTATATATATATATATACATATACATATGTGTGTGTGTAGATATATCTCTCGGATCTCAGAGTTCAAGCGGAAAAGCCTTGAGATCCAGAGGGAGCTCAGTCCGAGTCAGCTTTGCGCGTCGTGCGATCCCGGCTGGTGGAGCCAGTTGCCCTGGGACTCAGCGGCCAAAAGGAAGCGAACTGTTACAGTGCCAAAAGGGAGCGAATTGTTACTGTATTTTGTCGGTGATAACAGTAAGTCTCAGATAGCCCTAAGCCCTAAACCCTAAGACCCTTAAAGCCTTAACCTTAAGCCTGAAGTCACCGCGAGATGCTTGGGAGACCTCTCGTGTTAGCTTTCTTTTGTCTGGGGTCTCGGTGCCGACGGAGCATTTATCAAAGCCTGGCGTGAGTGGGCGTTTCAGGGAATTCCTGCCAATTAGGGCCGCCAGCTTGATCGATGCTCCATAGGTTCACAGCCTTCACATGTGGATGACCACATGTGCTCCAGACCCTAGATGGGCTTGTGGGGAAAAGAGGCGGCGTGGGGTTTCAGAAGAGGTTTGAAGTTGGCTACGGGACCGAACACCACGCAACACCCCTAAAGACAAAGTCCTAAGTCTTTTTAAAAATAGGACCCAAGAAGCTGGCTTCGCCAGTCGCTTCCTTGGGGCAGGGGCTTGGAAGGAAGCTTTGAGGAGAACGGTGGGACCTGGTGAGACGGTCGCATCATGTCGCTGTTTACCATGAATCACCACGTGCTTCTGTGATCGACCCCTTTGGCCATTTAATGCGGACTGCTCTTGCTCCTGGTATCTGGCCGTATGGCGCATGATACAGCACTGTGAAATCCTGCTGTTATTCTAATATAAGTTGTTTTCGCACAATGTGCACCACCCCACAGGCCCACAAGCGATGCACCATAGACGACTACGTCCAGGCGCATCGGTCCGGTCCTGTAGATCGACTCCTGAATCTTGGTGTGCGCCAATCTCCCTGCAGACCCTGACGAGCCTGTCGACATTACTCGAGGGTGGCAGTGACTCGCCTCGCATGCTGTCGACGACTGCTTGGCCGGCCACCTCCGTGCTGCACTTGACCCCACTTCCCTTACCCTGCTCGAATCTCGATCTGGGCCGTTTGCGTCGAGGGTTCTCACTGCCCCCGCCCTCCTGCCGCGAACTCACCTTGGACTCACCTTCTTCTGGCCCCCGTTGCTCCGCCGGCTTCACCTGCCCTTGCCGCTTGACGCTGCAACCCGCCGCTGACGAACGCACAACCTGCCCCCGCTCTGGCCTTGTGGGTTCGCATTTTTTGCAAGGCAGAAAAAACCGCACGGCGAGCGGACGATGTCAGCTTTCCCTGCGAGAGATAAGGCGCTGCCGCTGGCCGCGGTGCTTGACTTAACCGAAAAGGGAAACCAACAAATTGACCTGATAGGAGCCACGAACCCGAATGCAGTTGCGCGCCCGATAGCAGCGGGATTATCAGTTCTGCGTTTCGCGACCACGACCCCCCGCATCCCTGTGACTGTCGGCACCTTGACACAACTACAAGGGTTTTAGTCCATTTCCCGTCTGCCGCGATTCCAAACACGTCCAGCGCCGCCGAGGAGCCGAATGGTGTGGCCCTGCCACGATTTCGGAGCCCTCGAGCGACTCCAAACCCAAAAAGCGAGCGGGACTGTGGCGAGAGCACGATTTCAGACCCAAACCACGCACGACACTGCGGCGAGAGCGCATTTCAGCGACGAGCAGGTCGCGACAGTGCTGTAATTTACAATGAATTTCGCGATTTCGAAACGACGCTCGTCACCAAATGCGACCGGCACTGTGGCAGGAACGCCATTTTCGTGTAGACTGAGCGGGGCACCAAAGCGCGAGCGTCCCTCCCAGCCAAATCCGACACTCGCGGACGCTTGCGGACGCTTGCGGACGCTTGCGGACGCTTGCGAACGCTTGCGGACGCTTTCGAACGCTGCGCACGCATTCCGCGTCTACTCCTGACCCCCAGACCCCCAACCTTCAAACGATAACCCTTCTGCTACGCATTTGGGAAAAAAGGACAACTTGTTGGCCTTGGGAGAGAGCTTGATGACACGACCCATCGTTGATGAATGCTCTGTTTGCAGTCTTTCGCACCAAGGTTTTCCGTGATATACACCCAATGGAAAATTTTTGTCACATGTAACAGCTGGAAGAACAGTTTCAACAATCACCTGCCAATCGTTTCATTTCGTTAGCTACACAGTGTGCAACAACCCTGGCGCGAATTCATTGACTCATCGGCCATTCTCAATATCGATGGCAGCATAACAACACCAATCAAATCCGTCATCAGCATCATCATCATCATGAGCATCATCATCGTCATCATCATCATCATCATCGGCGATATCGGCATCACCACGACCCACCGTCATCACGAGGGCAGGTGGCGGTAACTGCAGTAGCATGTCAGCCCGCGACGTTTGTGAGTTCGCTTGAAGGTTGCACCACCCTACTTTAACATACGTTAGTGGTGGCAAGTCTGGCAGCGCCCGTCGTTGCGTGCTTTGGCTCTGGGGAGGCCTGGTCGAGCTATGTCCTGCTATTATATGTGTGGCGGGCACCCGCGGAGCCTTGCAGAATCGGCAAAGCATGGCACCAAACGAAACTAGAGGCGCGGGAGAAAAAATATAGGTCACTGTACGCATTGCCTTGCGCTGAAGTTACAGGTGGCCATTCCGCACACATCTTTTTCGTACAGGTGGCCATTCCGCACACATCTTTTTCGACAACTCCTGTCTCGGTTGCGGTCGTGCGAGTTCGGGGTAAGTCCGCGCCCCGGGCAGTTGCTCTCGCGGCGTGACGTCTCTTTCCCCGATCTCAGCGACATGCCCGCTGAGCACCGGCTTGACAGCCGTAGACAGCCCGCCGCATGCCGGTCGCTTGCCCGCACGGTGGTGTGCACCCAAACCGCAGCCACCCGACTCCTGAGCCACCGCGCCCGTGTGCCCGCGGCCTTGTCTCCCTCCTTACTGCTGCCAGCCTCCCACGCAAGGCTGGGGGCCGTACTGCCGGAGCGGCCTTGCTCGCTGCCAGACGAGCCAAAGGGCGCACATACCCCGAGCTGCGCAGGTCCAACCGCTGCCGGCTCACTGTCATAGCCCTTGAGATTGGGGGGCGTTGGAGTGCCGAGGCCGCTACCTTTGTCCGCTTGCTGGCATGGTGCCGTGCGCGGTCTGCGCCACCACCCTCACGCGCTGCTGCCATCTCGGTTTTTACTCTCCGCTGGTCTGCACTCCTCCCCTTCGCTGCCGCGCGCCAGCCTGCTGTCCCTGTCCTCACCGGCACGGCAATGTTGACGGGGATGTACCACTTCTCAGCGACATCCTCGTCGACTCACCTTCCCAGCCGCCGCTTGCTAGCCGTCTGGTATGAAAGCGCTCTGCGCTTCTGTGCTCTTTGCCGCAACCAGTTGCCCGGGCTTTGGGCTTCTGAACCGGGACCGCGCTGCTTCGGACGATAGCGAAGAGGTCCGTTGGATAAAAGAAAAAAGCGGAGCCTCTATGCCCGTAGACGGCAAGCTGCGCAAGGACCGCATTGGATCTTCTACGCACTGTCGCAATGTGGCTGCTGGCATCTGGCTGTGTTGAGCGGGAGTGACAAGCGGAGCATAAGGGCTCGGAAGAGGGGCGACGGCAAGGTGAGTTCGAGTGAAGTTGGCCGTGCTGTAACGACGCAGAGCCCGGTAGCATAAGCTGTCCACAGCCTGTCCAGCAGCACGCTTAAAGACAAAAAAACCAGCCGCGGGTGGGGTCGGGGTGCAGTTCGCCTCCGGATGGCCCAGCCAACGGGTCTTCCCAGGACGCAGGTTCAACGAGAACCGCGCACAAAGAAACACGGCCTCCGGTGTCCACGGGTCCCTGCGCGGCAGACGCCGGGCGTGAGTGCGAACATGTCCGAACTAGAATTTGTTGATAGTACACTAGAATCACCGCGAATGAAGGCCCCTTCGGGGACCACCTGGCCTTACCGCATTACCTCTCCTGCTGCGCCACCTCGGGCTCCCGGGCTCCTACCGATCCCTTTTTTGTTCTTTTTCAGGTAAGCCACTTGGTAGAAAAATAGTCGTTGGTATGGTTGAAAAATGTGAAATGTTCTGCTCGGTCTCAAGCCGCGACCACTCTACGGCTCTGCCACCTGTACCTCCACTGCCAGCTCACGCGCCGTGGCTGCCGGCTGCCATGGGCGGGTCGGCAGGCGAATGTGCCCCGCCGGCTCCTCCAGGTCCAGCACGCGGTCCAAGTCTGGGCCGGCCGGCTGGCGTGGCTGCAAGCGGGCAGGCCCTCCGATTGGTAATATTACCATAGCTGGGCCTTTCGCCGCCCGCGTTTTTTCTCGGCGCGTAAGTGGCGATACCGCATTGTACTGAAGCCTCGCCTGCTTTGTCGAGTGTGAGTGCTAAAAAAAGTGGCGATACCAGTGTCGCATCGCAGCACAGCGCAGGGTGCCATGGTGTGGACAAGCTATTGTGTTGCGGCACCACCTGCCCTTCGGCACCGGTGGCTACCTTTTCGAAGGCACGCCATGTCACGCCCACGCACGTGGGACGAAGTTACCCGGTTTCACGTTCTTCTGCTGCGCCGGTTGTACCGGTTTTGGGCTTAATTTGGCCGCGGTGCTGAGATTTAATAGGCCCTTGGGCTTTGAATTTTGACACGGCGGGCGATTAAGCAGGTTTTGGGAAGTGTGGGTTTTGCCAAGCCCGTTGCACTCTCACTCCTGCAACGTGCCGTAAGCGACATCAAAACCCTACGGACACCATGAGTTCGCCCACGCTCGGGGATACCCCATCGTCGCTGTCGGCATCGAGGCTATGCGTTGCACGCCTGTCCGGCATTTTGGCCGTCGCAGCCCAGCTGAGAGCCCCACGCAACGGGCCCGTGCCGGAACTGCGCGAGGTCCTTGCTGACGCAAGCCAGGATTAGCTTGGCAGCGGCCGTCCCCGATTGCGCCTCATGCGCCTCATGCGCGTCCTTTCGCTGCCAATAACCCGTGACACGGTGTTTCTCTGACGCGGACATTTCTGGCAGGTGCAACGCGTCGTTAACAAGGTAAAGCCACGTAAATGCGACTCATGCGGCCGTGAGCTTGAAACAGGTCAATTGCCAACAATAGCCTCCAGGGGGACGGGGCCAGGATGTCATTTGGCCGATGGAACACAATGTGGGTAGTTTTCGAAATTAGGGTCCTTTTTTAGGTCCCCAATGTAATACGGCATCCTTGTAACAAAAAAAATTACTAATTTAGAAAACTGTCCATGTGGCATCTGCCAAGGATGGAGCTTCAAGCAAGATGTGCGCTCAGGCTGCATGCAGCGGGAGAGCTGGCTCTTGGCCATCGGCCCATGTTCTTTCCACACACCTTTTCCCTGTGTTAGCTGCGGTGTCCTACGCAGCGCTACCGCCAGCAACCAAGCCCTGGTCAATCCATCGGTCCGGCAAACAATAAAGACTTCAGGCAGGCAGCCAGGCCGCCCGCCAACAAATTGTCCAGCTTTGCCACAGGGCCCCCCTTCAAGCGGAGGGGGGTGAGGTGGGGGATATTCGGCCCGCTGATTGCAGACTTTCTCGTTGACGCAGATGCCTGGCGTGTCGCCATCAAGTGTGACATTCGGACGGATACGTTAGTTGGTTGTGTTTTCCCCGTGCCTGCAGCTTGCCGCGACCTTCCGGCCTCCAATGCGATTGCATCATGTGCAGGCGGTTCTCATTTTGCATGCAGACCTTGCGCAATGGAAACCTACATGTCCCCATAGGATGCAGGCGATTTGGAAAATCAGAAAAGCATGATCATCTCCAAATCCGAAACAGGTAATGGAGTTTGGAAGTGGGTGCTTTCTATTTGGAACGTGTCCATCCAGAATCATTCCAGCCGAATGTTAGGGCGGGGGAAGGAAGGCGGAAGAAGATCCGATGATCCGGTTTCGACGCGTGTTTGGCCCAAGCTCATGAAACGTGTCGGTCGAGAGCGCTTTTTCACGGTGCGATGGAATCGACTGCATGGGTGTCGGAGTACAGCCCCTTGCATTACCGAGCGAAGGATACATCTCCGGAACAGACGCGGTCCAGAAGATCGCTGAGCCGCAACCCATCGAGTGACATTCTGTTCGTGGACATCGATGCGACTCCTTCATGTGCCAAGAGTGTGCCTGTTCTGAAACAAGACATGGTTTTGGTTTCGGAAGCCCCGGTAGTACGTGCTAAGAAACGCTTCGCACAATAGGGTTCAGCACAAGTGAGCCATGGTTTGATTTGGTTGACCGTGTGCATATGCAGGGGCAGCATGTAAACGGAGCGTGGTGAGATGGTCCGAGTTGCCAAAAGCCAAGGGCATGTTTCTCGAAGGTTTGATCTACCATGAGTTGCAGCCTTTGGAGACCATTGACGAAGCCGTTGGCTTTGCCACATCGCACTGGACCGGCCAAGGATCCATGCTCAGCTGCCCCTGGTTGGCAGTGTGATGAACCCCAAACGCCGAAACCAAACATGGTTTCGACGGTTCAGCCTGCGTTTCGGTGGGTAGCTTATGAGAGCGAACTCGGTGGGCTCGCTTACAATCTATCATAAGAAAAGCAGGAATACATAACATGACGATGCAGCTGGCACGGAGCAGGCATCAACACGTATGGCACATCATGATACAATAGAACACCGTACAAGATAAGATGACATAGTGCAACATGCTGTAACAGCCATTATCATAAGCACAATTTCGGCGGTCGAAGCCACTCGCGATGTTTCTGGGACTGCAGGTGTGTTCACTTTGGTCGCGTCTGCCATGGGAGCCGGCTGCTTATCTTTGCCCCACATGTTCAGCAAGACTGGCATTGTTTGTGGCCTTACTCTTCTGGCTTGTGGGGCTTTGCTTGCACACGCCTCGCTGGTGATCCTTATGAGCTGCGCTCGAAGCTTGGCTACTTCGTGCCAGAAGGTGGGAGTGTAGATTTCAGAGCTTCAGGTCGGATTCAGAGTCTGGGGCTGCGAAGTTTGGGAAAGATATGATTTGAGGGCGCCAACTATGGACTTCTTCGTATAGGGACCCACGACAAGGACCCCAATGTTAAAGACGACCGCATGTAAAGCCGAGCCAGGCTGACCGCTGTAAGCCTAGCAACTGCCCAAGCAAAAAATAGAAAGGAAAACCACCGGATCTCAGGATACACCCAATGCCGTTCCTTTGCGGAGCTCGTGTCTCTCAGCGAGGCAGAGCCTTCCGATGGACGGAGTGGTCGAAACCCGTTGGTGGACACCGTACCTCTTTGGGAGTGCAGTAAGCTAGGGGTGATTTTTCTTCGAGCCTGTGAGATCAACGATTAGATGCCACAGGTACTCCTTGATGAAAAGACCTAGGTCATCATGTTCTATGGTATGGCAGCCGTACTCATCTACATGATGCTGATTGGTGATTTTTTCGCTGACATCGCGAAGTCCCCGTTGTTTGGTTACGCTGACATTCCGCGACAACACCTTATCCTTGCCTCGCTCATCTGCGTGTTTCCGCTCTCGATCCCCAGGAATGTCACCGCGCTCAGATACATATCCGTTTTGAGCACCAGCGTGATCGTGTTTTTGACAATTGTGGTTGTCGCGAAAATGCCCAGCTGCGCCCTTACCAAACCGGCGGCAGAGGCCCGTGTGTGGGAGGAGAATGGGCCAGTTCGAACGATACTGCAGTCATTTGCAATGGCACTCTTCTCTTTCAATGCGCACACAAATGCTGTGCCGGTGGCCATGGCTTTGGACCAGCCGCGGGCAGCCCGGATTTGGCAGGTCTCACTTCTCTCCGTCCTGATTGAGTTCGTCATTTATTCGACAATTGCAACTGCGGGATACCTATCGTTCGGGGGGCTGACAAAGCAAGACTTTATCCGCAATTATCCGCCAGACGATAGCTGGATGTTACTCGTTCGTTGCGTGTATTCCGTGCCGGTGATCTTCGGTGTGCCTATTAACTTGTCCCCAGCAGCCGCCTCAATTCAAGCTCTGGCAGGTCGCATTTGCTCCTCCAAACAGCAGTGTCTCGGATGGCTGAAGGTCTCCGTAGTCTTTGTAGCTAGCCGCTCGGATGAACGACGTTTAGTTCGATGTGCTGGAGCATGCTGGGGCCCTGAAGATGCGAGGTTCCGGAGACAGACCAGCGACCCGCATCCCAACTCCGCCAGATCGCAGTGTCGGCGCGCGTGCATTGTCGGAACTGTGCTCCTTTGCAGTGCTCTCCTCGCGATCTGCTGCGAAGCCTTCGCCGATGTCATCGGCGGCCTGGCCTTCTACTAGGGTTCAAGGTTTTCAGGGTGAGCCCGGGAGTAAACAGGGTTTCTTTGGTACATAATCGGAGCAAAGAAGCGAATATGATTATGATAACTTTAACAAGAGCAGATAGCAAGAACAGTCTCGAGGCCTGTTCGGGGCCTGCTTTGGCACCGCCATCTGCCTCATGTGGCCTCTTCGAGTCTATCGGCATGTCATGCGAGATCTACACTCGCACCTTTTGTCGACTGCTGTCACCATTGGCTTGACCGTTGCGTCGGTTTTAGGAGTGATAGCCTTTCTAGAGCAGTGTCTACGTGTGTTCCATCTCTCTTGAGGTAGCGGCCCACTTGCCGTCAGTTCCAGGCAGAATTTTTGACTTGCAGAGTGTTTGTGCAAATACCCGGCAGAGCACAACTCCGAAGAAAGCTTCTGTGCACAAAGCTATGCAGAGAGCTTGTGTGAGTCTGAGTCATTTAGACACCCAGACATCCAAAGCCGATTTCCCGCGATCCCACCTGAACAGGAGCGTCGAGAGGCGATGCCGAATCGTATTGCTTGTGTTGTTTGTGTCCAGGGGGTGTCCGGCCATCACACACCGACGAAGAGAGGGGTGTTCGCTCTAGACCGGTTTCAAACACCGCAATAATCCGCGTTAAAGGAGCATGATACTTGTAATGGCACTCGCGCTTGAAGCCGTGTCTTGCTGTGAAGCTCTTGGAATCTCCGGGACCCTGTTCCCGTGCAGGCAAGGGCAAGGAAAAAAATGGCTTCCACTGGTTGCAATGGGTCAGGAACCCCTTCTAAGGAAGCCTAAAGATGATCTACACAGATGATAATCACAAATATGTAGTGCAGCATGTGTCTCGACAGCAAAACGGATAGGCACTTATGTAAATAGGTGGTGCGCACGCATTCATGCATACATTTATAATATACATTTATGTACATACATTCATATATGCGTGCATGCATAGGTACATAGACATGTGTAGATGGTGTTCGGACACACTTGTACACAATCACGACCCAGCTATTTCACATTGTTGGCTATGGTATCATCCCGGTTTCGCGAAGCCCGCCCACTCCGGAAGACGTGAGCTCCTGAAAAGCCGCGAGGAGGCTTAAGAATCCGTCGTGGTTGTCCTGGCTCGAAGGATGGATGCACAAGCTACGCATGGATGCGGTGCTTCATTGGTGGGGGAGCAAGCTAGCCAGGTCTACATCCCCTTCCGAACATATTCCCGGCATGCCAAAGTATGCGCATGCATAACATCAGGAAGCAGACAAAGGAGTCCCTCAGTATCCACCACAGTTGAGGGCACTGCCCGCAATGCAGTATCGATGCGGGCTTTTCCATCCGATCCACCAGCATGTTTATCACCTACGACAAGGAACTCAGCAGCGAAGCTAAAGTAGCCAACGCTTGAACACACACAGGGCAGACATACTTATAGAGGCGCTCACATGTGTTAGGCCGCCGGCCGTCTCGCTCGTGTCCTGCCGCTTTGCCACACTTCTCGTGTGGTTGTGGCTGGCCATGTCGAGCGCGATGAAGGCCGGCACATCAATCGGGTAAGAGCATCAATCGGGACAAAGCGAGCACAGGTCGTTTTATGTTTCGCTTGTTCAGATGCAGATGTGCAGATAAACGTCAAGGGTTTCTGTGGTTCTTGGCACGTGACAACTCTTCAAGACTTTCTCGGGCCAGTTTCGCAGTGACCGTGTTTCTAAGTTGGAAGACCCTGTGCAGATCCCGAGACCACCCCCACGTACTACGTGCAAGGCATCGAAGGCTTCCAAGACGTCCCATGGTGGCAGCCCGGGCAACGCGTCGCCGACCAATGGGTCCCAGAAGGTGCGTGGGGCAGGGATGCGATGTATAGTCTGTTCATGTCATGCAGCGAGACTCATAATGCACATGCAGATAGACACAACGACATGTTGCTGGTGACCTCCTTTCAGTTTTCTCGCGCAAGTTTTGTACTTCCTGTCAACCGCCAGCACTTGGTCTCGAAGGTCTCAAACGAAGGCCTGCAAGTTCCTTCTGTGACGACATGCAGTCTCCCAGACTCACCCGACTCCTTTTTTAGCCAGGTGGTCGGGCCGAACATCAAAGGAAACCGGGAGGACTTGATGTTAGATGCGTCAGATCAGGGAGAGCTGAAGGGCTGGGGTGGCGGCATCTTAAGAGGTAGGGAGCTTGATGTTCTGGAGTTATGTTTCGAGATCGAGATTTCGATTCAGGGGGGGGTCTGGAGCTTACTTGCATGATGTACCTTGGGTTGGCCCGGGTTTGGCTTTATTGGTCTTGCCAGGTTGTTCAGTCTTGTTATTCTTGTTCCGAGAACTTGCACTGTCTGTGGTATACAATAAGCATGTCTTATGTCCTTTCGAGGATTGAATCTTACCGTTGCCTGGTCAAGTTGAGCGTATGGAGTTTCCGCAGATGCTTTTAGCATGCTCTGCCTTCTTGCGCCAGACTTTGACTTCTGTCGGGCTGGCAGCCATTTAGCAACGGCATGACTGAAGTACAGTAGATTTGCATATTATGGTATACATCCACTTGCTTGCATCTAAAAATAGGTACAAGGGAAAATTCACAGACGAACCAATGAATAGATGTATAGATCGACGCCTCCGCCCAGTGAGCCCAGGAGTACCAGCTGGTGATGCACCTTCAGTCCGCCCTCTTCGGCGGAGTCTACGAGGCCAAGGGGCGCTCCAGTGGCAAGGACTATGCGATCAAGGCCGGGGAGAGGGAAGTGTCATGTGTTCGACTTCAAGTGTCAGCAAAGGCCGTTTCTGGAGCTGCCAGGGAGATGTGAAAGTGCTGCACTTTTGTTTTGGCTGCTACATCCATGGCTTCGACGTTCAGTGCAGATAGTGCAATAAGAACAGCTGCCAGGGTTGTTCCGGTCGCCACCGTTATGCTGCACAGCGAATGCCGCTGCTACGTGTGCTTACTATGCTGCCGCTGCTGCTCCCACTAATACTGCTCCTCCTGCTGCTGCTCGAGTGCACTATTGCTACGACTACGACTACGACGATCACATGGCTGCCTCTGCTGCAGATGCTACACGAGATGACTTCAAGTTTACCAGAGTCGGGGATGTGCGGCTAGACTTCTTTGGAGTTGCCGGACTCGAAGGGTGCCTAGCCAGTAAAGCCCCTCCACAGTGAGTCAGGTGCTGCACAAGAGCGAGCTCCAGAAGGCTGCCTTCAGGGGGCAATTTCCTGCTGCTGTATGTCACGACGAAAGATCTGTTGAACGCGCAGGTGGAGGAGAACGACTCCATCGAGTTCTGTGAAGTTCCACTAAGCGAACTCAAGTTTGCCGATGTGGCGCGGCTGCAAATTCCCAGCTGGTGGAGCAATATCGCCGATGATCATGTCTAGTTGTTGCAACCAAACAGCTGAGCAGCAACGCAAGCTTAGGAACAAGCTTGCGAGATGTGATTGCTACAGTTTCCGCTAACTCTTCTTGTTGAGCTTCACTAGACGAAGTTCAGGAGACGCATTCAGTGGAAGTAGGCCGGCTTGATGTGAGAACCCACCCGAGCTCCGAGCATGCGGAGATCGCGGTTCCGTGTATTGTGACCCTACCCTTCCAAATGTTGCAGTGCGGCGTAGCTGTGAGTTGCAATCAGATTGAGACCGCAGGTCATGAAAGGGCACGAGCCACTTGGCCATATTTTGTTGGAAGTGCACCAGGTCAACCGGTAGGATCGGTAGAACAGGCTTTGGACCACGTCGCAGCCATTTCCTTTCTGAAGCCCACGGCAAAGTTCTGCATGATTCTGAGTGCATGTTCCATGTTGTGTGCCGGATTGGCGAGACTCTACTTTTGGAGAAGTTTGCGCGAAAGCACTTCCTGAGACAGGCTGCAGCGCCAGAAGCCTAAACCCGCAAGCTCGGAGAGAAAGCCTACACCCTCTGTTGCTCTGTTTCAAGGCACGTCATGGAAGTCGAAGAGCATTTCGAAGACCAGTACCAAGGCTGCATGGTCTTTCAGCACTCAGGCCCTAGGAAGCCTGAACCCTCAGGCTGGTCTGGCTTCTTAGGAGTGTTTGTTGGAAGCCTGTGAGCTGAGCTTGTTCAGAGCTGGCCACGACGGGATCCAGACAGTGATGTCACCAAACATGTTGAAGTGCTGCAACATATTATTCTAATCATTATGCACGATGGGATATTATCTAAATTGTTGTTGTGTCGGCCTCGGTGTCCTTGTTCGAGCCGAGGTATTGCCATTACTGCGTATTCGAGCTGTGTCGAGGTGGGCCATGGCCTTCTCAAGTTTGCTGCCCAACCCCACGGTCACAAGAGACGGACTTGGCTTCCCTGGCAGGTGGGGATCTGCTAGAAGCGTTGAAGCAGTGACTTGGTGGCCGTAAAGCTGTCCTCCAAACGCGCAGGCCCGAAAGCTCCAAGCGAGATGGCGCGATTCAGGAACCACTCAACGTTTGCGTGCTCGAACCACGGGATACGACAGCATACATCAACTACACACAGGAAGACACGGGACTGTGGCGTCTGACAGCCTCTGCTGAGCAGGAGCAAAGGGACTAGAAGATTTCAAGAAGCAGACAGCCCTGTCGCTTTGGCCCTGTGTAAGATACTCCCTTGATTGATGGCATGTCGGATGACGAGCTTAGGGGGCAACTCTATAGCCCTGGACATCCCTAGAGTCGAAAGCTTAAAACCCGACTTGTACCGGAAGCCCCGAAGATCTTGGACCCTGAGCTCTATAAGCCCCAAGCCCTAAACGGTGATAGGCTTGCAGGTTGTAGAGGTTGGGATTGCCTGCTGTGATGCAGCAAGCAACTACCTCTGCCACATGTGGCATTCGACCTAACTAACTCAGGCAGTTGGAAAAGAGGTGACAAAAAAAATTATAAACCCTAAACCCAGGAAGCCAATGGGCTTCGACGAGCGGCAGGCGCAGTTCCTGATCCGACAGGCGGGGGGGGGGGCCAGGCCACAGGGGTACCCCGGATTTGAGGCTTTCGGAGGGCTTGTTGGGTCTTCTCATGGCTGCAGAAGGTGCCGATTGAAGCCAAGATCAGGTTTCAGGTTGCGTTCCGAGGTGTGCGGATGTTAGGTTCAGCAGAGACTGGACGAAGGGGGTTGAAGTTGCTCTTGCCTCATATATTGCGGCGATTGAAGAAGCAGATTTTCGGACTCTCCCTTGTGGAAGAGCCCGTGCGGCCAGGCAGTGCTGGGCCTCGCCCACTTGCACGATCGAGGCCCGAGCAGTGTGGCGAACTTGGGGCTTTGGGGGACTTCCAGTCCTGACTTGTTTTAAAGCTGCTGCTAGAATAGGCCCCCTAAAGGGGAAAAGCTCCCTGTACTAGGGGCCTTCTGCTCCCTTTTGACCTTGGGCCCAAGCCGCTCTGGTTCCGAGCCCAATTTGGACCAGGAGTGGCGATGCAGGATGTTTCCCTGGAGAATATGCTGCTAAACATCAACCCAAGACGGGGCCTCAGCTGCGTAGCTTTCGGCTGTTGAATGTGTTGAAGCCCACCATGACACTGACACGAGAGACCCTTGAGCGAGCCCCATTTCTTCAGTCATTACTACTAATATTATTGCGACCATCATGATTATTATTGTTATTGTTTGTTTTCTCTTCTTATTATTATTCTTATTATTCCTATTTCTGCTTATTCTTCTGATTTCCTTATTCTTCTTATTCTTCTTATTCTTCTTCTTATTTTACTATCATATAAATACAGTTCCCCTTACCTGGGGAGCTCGAGGCTCGGGCCACTGGCAGGTGTGGCTCTCAGAGTCCAAGCATCCTGCGTTTTGCGGCTCTCATGTTGCTAGGCTCCCGTGAAGGGGGACCAGAGGGTTCTGTAATGGGATTCCCATTGAGTTCCCTGTAAGGGATATGGCCATTGCAGAAGGCCAAGCATCCTGGGTCAGTATAGAGGGCATGTTGAAGCTGTGAGTCCCAGGCGGTGTTCAGTGAACACCTCTGTGACGGCTGACGGTTCCTAAGAAGACAGCGATGCCCAAGTAGAGAGCATGGGGCTCCCGGAGGGAGTCGAAGCCACCAAGCTCTGCCGTGTTTTCGGAAGGTGAAGATCTGCGATCCTGGTCAGGCCTGTCGGCCTTTTCAAGGTCTAGTAAGGCTTAGTAAAGGGTAATTACAGTAAGGCTTAGTAAAGGGTAATTACAGTAAGGCTTAGTAAAGGGTAATTACAGCGCATTTTTTTGCTGAGCCACAAGAACAGCCGGTTGTCCTGTTGTGAGCCAGGCTGTGCGGTTCCAGACAGACTCCAACGGCCAGGAAAAGCCCGTAGGCTTTCATGGACTTGTGGGATCCTCGTCCGCAGATTCGGCTTCGAGGTGTCGGGTCACCTGCCTGTGGTGTGCGCATATATATATATATATATATATATATATATTTATTTTTATACATACATACACACACACACACACATATATATATATATATATAGATATCTGTATATATAAGGTAGGTATGTATATACCATCTGTATATATATATATATATCTATGAAGTATAATATGGTTACGTTACATGTGTGTATATATATATATATATATAAAGCATGCTTCAACGGGCTCCGATGTTGGGAACGGCAAGAGAATGGATGGTATTAGATACGGTGAAGAAAGAAGTGCTCCAGGGTTTCCGACTCAGATGTCTAGGCGGCTCAGTGTTGGCATCCCGGTGGCAAGGCAAGTCCTTCCGCCCGCCGGAGCTGCACGACCACAAGCCCTACCTTGCAACGAAGGTGGACTCATGGTGCTTGGGAGCCGTGGCTGAAAGCAGGAAGAGCTGAGCTTTTCCAACAGTGGAGCTGCAATATCCATTGCAAAAAGCCGAGCCGCAGGAACTGCTGGTAGCCAGCCAAGATGTGGTCGTGATGATGGTGACAATTTTGGTGATGGTAATCAGGCTGCTGAAGAAATGCTGGGTCGAGGATGGTAGTGGCGATGATGGTGGTGCTGATGATGAGAATGATCATGGTGATGAGAATGATACGAGACATGTGCGCTGGCCTGGTGCGCAGTGATGACAATGGCGATAACGATGATGATGAGGAGTAAGATGATGATAGTGGATGGTACAGTAGCACGGATGACAATGCCGACTGTTTTTAGTCCTCTCTCTGTCTACTTTCCTGACTCTTCGGTTGATTGAACGAAGTCCTGTTTGGATACCAAAGAATCGAGGCTGGAGCACCTTTTACCTGCTTACGGCGCAGCCGCTTTTCATGAGCGCCGATCCTGCGCTCAAGGACGCTGGAAGCCATCAGGGAATGCTCGCCGCAGAGTCTTTTGTTGGCTCGACCCGCAACCCAAGCATTGGGTGGCAGCCTCCCGTCGGTCAGGGACTAAACTGACTAAACCTTGAGTGATGGCGTCTTTGTGGGAAGCATCTACTGGCACAGCCTGTTCAGCTTCCAAGAAGCTGGACCATGAACAGCAGCACCAGCAGCAACAACAATGCTCTTGCTCATGCTCATGCTCATGGTGCTGCTCCTGCCGCTGCTATATATACTGCTGCTGCTGCTGCTGCTGCTGCTGCTGCTGCTGCTGCTGCTGCTGCTGCTGCTGCTGCTACCGCTACTGCTACTGCTGCTGTGACGACGATGTCGACGAGGAGGAGGACGACGACAACCGCGACCTGTAGCACCATTTGCAGCAGCAGAAATAGGAGTAGGAGTAGGAGTCGCAGTCGGAGTCGGAGTAGGAGTTGAGTAGGGGTCGGAGTAGGGAGTAGGAGTGGCGTAGGCGTAGGAGTAAGCGTAAAGGTAGAAGTAGCAATAGTAGCACTAGTAGTAGTCGTCGTCGCAGCACTATGTGCTCTGGACAGCTCCCCGCATCACAGCATGTCCTTTTCAGTACCTCTGTGACCACCCTCCTGGTCGGAGGACACCGACTGGCAGCTCTTTAAGCTTCTTGGCTTCCAGGTTTGGGGCTTTCAGTGAACGCAGCCTTTTTGCCAAAATGACTTTGAAGAGTTGGGTGTCGACCGTGTGTTCTGCAAGGCTGCACGAACTAGATCCTAGACACCTGAGGCCTTAAACCGTAAGTTGTAATAAGTTGTAAACCCCTGAACCCTAAGTGTGAAAGCCTCAAGCAATGAATTCAGGGTTTCGGCCCAGGAGCGGCAAGTTTGACGAGCTTTTCAAAACAAAGTCACCGAACTTCTCGCAGCTTGGAAGCACTCAGGCTGTTGAGAGCACTTCCTGATGACTATAGTGAACCGTCCTGAACGAGTAAGGCTCCCGGTGTTGGCCCTGAGTTTGAGTTTGTGCCTCTCTTAGATCCATTCTTACTATCTGCACATGAGTGATGAACTGCGTGTGTGAGAGAGTTGCTTCCAACATGCGCTGCGCCAAGTAACAACATCAGTATCGGTCGAGTCGTGACATGTGGTACGCCAAAACCCGAACCCTGCCGACCCTGCCCTAAACCCTAAACCCACGCTTTTGAGTTGCTTAGTTGCGATTTGCGATGCCGCACCAGGCCAACTGGAATTGACTTCATCTTCAAACTACTGCAGTTTGAGCCTTCCAAGCGAATGTCAATTGCAGATGCCTGCAGCTTGGCGCAATGTAGGGCTTTGGGTTTCATGAGCCGCTCGTGCGAGAGACACAATCTGTGAAGCGTGCGGATCCGGCCTGAAGAGGTTCATTTAACATGCACTACAGTCAATATTTCAATGAAAGATGTAGCGCCTGGTCGTGAATGGCCAAACGACTCCAAGCGTTCCGCGCCAAGGCAAACATGCACCTCGGACGCAGCAAGACATGCCTGTGGAGCCATGCTTCAAGGTGCCAGCTGTGAGAGCGCAAGATAATGGAATTTAATCAAGCTGCCGACCGCGAATCGTGGCTTTGAGCCAAGCGTAGAAGTTTAAAGGTGCGGAGTCTGCAGGTATCTGAAGGCTAGGGTTTGAGGGTCAAGGCCCTCGCCTGCCAAGGCTTGGTTGAATGATGCCAGCGTTCAACCAGTTCCGGCACCCAAGGACGCTGCATTCTTCAATCAGGGGTTGATCGGAGCCGCAACCTTCCATGCTCCGAGACGCGTAGTGTAGAGGTGTTGGGCATCATGACTCGCGGCGGCAATCATCAGAAGCCAGCCCCGAAGTCTTGCTTCGAGTGCTCGGAGCATTGGGTGTCGTGTCGGACCGGAGGAGCTGCTTCCTGACTCTCTGATCCGAACCAACGAGGCCGCAGAGAGGAACTGTGGGAGAGTGGAGGGAACAGGGATGGGGAGAGGAGAGGGGGAGGGAGAACGAACGGCCTCCGCCAGGTCCAGGTGCCGGCGCCGGTGCCCTCAAAACCCGCTCCGCCCATTGCGGAGCGTCCAGACTTTATGGGAGGCCGTGCCGAAGAGGGTGCCATTGAAAGGGAGAGGTTGCAGAACGAGTCGTCGATTTGTAGAAAACGCTCTCCTGCACCCGAGATGCAACCACCCACAGTGTCATCGAAACACTTAGGCCAAGCTGGCTAGAGTTCCACGTCTCAGAGCCTCATGTACCTCCTCGTTTTGTTGAAGGCTCGCTCTCTGCTAGCATTCCCTCCATGACGGCTTCCTTGGGAGCTCCTACCATTGGGTCACCGATGAGGCAGGGAAGGGCGGGAAGCGTGATGTAGTCCTGAAGCTGGCTTGCGGAATTACATGTTTCATGAACGCGATGCAGAAGATGGCGGTCAACATTTTGTGTTGCTGATGCTGATGCTGTGCTAGCAGCTGCTTTGTGTTTCTGAATGGGAGTGCTCAATGGTGTCAGGCCGATGACGCACACTCTACCGACCTGGTCCGCTGCGCCAATACAAGGCACCGGGGAGATGTAGCTTCAGCTCCTGTGCCAAATTGTCTCAAGCCGGGGACCCCTGACAAAGATTCCCGGTTCAAATGTCATCAGACCTAATGCCGTCAGGTGTGGTGTCCACGACCACCAAGATGGTGGCCCCCCGCACGCCACTTATGCACCTGGTCTGCACCAGCCACTGAGTGCTCCAACCGGATACCCAAGTTCCCGGGGCCAGGTGCATTGAGAAGTCATCTGATCTTCCCCGGCCCGGTGCTTTAGCAGTCCCATCGTACGACCCACGCACGTGATAGATTACCATAAATTGCGCCCGGCGAAAACTCTGACAAACCGTCTGCTTGCATGTGTTAGCCCGAACCCGTTAGCCCAAAAGCTGCGAGGGTTCTGCCCATTAGGAGAGTTGCATGGTGTTTCCAATGGGTCATTCAAGCAGTTGAAGCTTATCGTCAGTAGTGAAATCATTCAAGAGACGTGCTTGGCGAGAATCCGAAGGCTTCTAGCTTAAAGCTGTGGGCTTCGGGTGCGCCCCTTGTTTCTGTCCTGGTTGAGTCGCTGCAAACCAGATGCAAAAAGGAGAGTTCGAAGTCCATCGAGCCGATCCCCACGAACCTTGGTGAGCAAGCGCGATCTTGGGGTTCTGGGGCGTTTTTCTCGCTGTCCCGAGCTTTGTCTCTGCCCGGCACGTGAATCGTCCCATTCGTGGGAGCTGCAGTCCCGCTTGTCGCCAGTTTCCTGTCTCTGCAACGTCAGAGCAGCCTGACGCAGAGCTGATGTAGCCCCGCAGTCACGACAATAGATGCAGAAAGGCAGCCAGGCTAAAAATCCGACGAGCCCCTTATGACGCCGGCATCGTAGAATCTTAAAAAGAGTTCTTGAAATCCTATAACCCCCAAAGCCCACAAGGAAGACCAGCAAAAATTTGCCCCGAGGCCAAAGCTTCGCAGCGGAGGTTCAGCTGGCAGCCGCCTTGGGGGTTCAGGGAGGACCTTAGTCTAGGACATTTTCAGGTGGGTGGTTACCGTCCTAGGAGCCTTATAGAAGGTCTCTATACCCTTAACTCCCTACCTGTAGTTTCCTTTAACTTAGGTTTCGACGCCCGGAAAGGCACAAAAAAGACCGAACTTCTGAAAGCCCATGGGGAAATAATAGGTCCGTGTCCACCGCACATAGAACCCCCGAATCATAGGATCCTCAGTGCAAGCGCCAAGCGCCCCCAAACTGTTTGCGAACCTGTGGTTTTCTGAAGCTCTTGCGGTGGATTAGCCTGTAGCCAGGCCTGAGTCATTCCGCAGAATGACCCTTATAGTGCATGACCCCTTAGATCGCCCTTCGGGGAACCCTTATCGTAAGTAGTCCTAACAGTAGCCCTTGTTAAATAACACACCCTTATCGTAACTAGTGCTAACAGCAGCCCCTGCTAAACGACCCTTGAACAGTAGCCTCATCGCACAATCATATAGCCATACCGATAGCCCTTGTTAAGTCCCCAACCCTCGCCTGCTGAGTCGAGTGCGAGTGCTAAAAAACCTTTACCGTTCGTATATAAAAATTGCAGTAGCCCTTAACGTAATCCCGTAAAGCAATCCTACTTGGAGGATCAGGGGACTTAGTAAGTAAGGTTATAAGTTCCTTACTGCATTCTGAGGTGCCGAGCGCCGATCGTCGGAGTCGCGCCTTTCAGCCTCAGCGGAGGTCCCAGAGGAGCGGTGGCATCAGTGATTCTAGAGTCTCGGGTGTTTGTGGTTGAAGGTTAGGGCTTAGGAAGGCAGCGTTTTTGGTTTATGAGTAGGGTGAAGGGCGGCTTGGACAGGATCTTGCGTTGGATTCTCGGACTGTTGCAAGGGGACGCATCTGTTCGTGTCCTGCGTGTTGTCGTGCCGCGAAGAGGCGACACCGGATCCTGCTTCTTACTTCTCGCACGGGGAGAATTCCCCAGAGGCTTTGCCTTGGTTCTCCGGAGCTGCTCCGGGCAGAGCTGACCATGTCATGTTCCGCACTCCAGGACCGCCTACTCGGGAGCTTATGCGGCTTGGAGAGCACTAAGGAAAAAGCCAAAGTCCTGGCCACCGGCTTACGGGGCCTGGGGATTGCCTTACGTTTTACAGGGTATGTGGCCTCGTCAGTCCCACGCTCAGCAGGTGGCCCACAGAACTCTGAAGCCTCTAGGCCTTCAAATTTTTTTCATCCGAGAACAACCCTTCATTCACTCAGCAACTGCTCGTGTTGTTAACCTTTCTTCCTCGGAATTTCTATGTCTTTGAGTTCATTCCTCTGCCTCTTTGTCTCTGCGTGTCAGGTGGTGGCCACGGCCCATTCACCAGCTCCCATGGCACTGCGTGGCACATCCGGGCGGGCTCTGCCGCACGCGCCATCGGCTGGAGAGTCTTGGGTGGTACTTGGCCTGGGTTGCATCATTGGAGCTGCTTTTGCGAGGCTTATCTTCGGTTGCTGCTTTGGCAGTAGCTACACCGATGTACTAACTTTCAAAAAACATCTTCAGCGGTTCATGACAGACCTCAACAAGGCTTCCAGCCTTCGGCAGTGGATCCCCGCAGGCAGACAGGTCCCGACCTGGGATGCCAGTCCCAGTCTGGACACGGCAGAGTATCACCCCACCCAGCTTTTGGCGGACTTCAGTCTTTGATGGCGAGAGCAAGTAGTCTTGATTTCAGCGAGAGCCGGACGGGCACGTGACACCATGTGCCTTTTTGCAAAACAGGCTAAAACCAACAACAAACTGCCGAGGAAAACCATGGCGTGGTAGCGGGCCACAACTACTACAGCCTCTTGGATCAGATGTGTTCTTGTAGCTGGCGCTGTGACAAAGACAAATTCCAAGCTATGGATACGTGCATATAGTAGCTTTGCGGAAGTGCTCTGCCGCCAGTATATGTACAGTATCTAGAGTTTTGCACCTAGTATATAGCATATACAAGTGTAGCATGTGTTGTTGGAGGCATCAGCAGGAACTCTTCGCACGAATGCCTTCCCGAGGTCATGATGGGGGACGTGCGAACTTTATCGCCACACCCAGGTTCTTTGGCCCAAGTTTTAGGGTTGCAGTTTAGGCGTTGAGGTGTGTTCGCTGGCACACAATCCAAGCCCATGCTATAAGGGTTTAATTAAGGTGCAGGATTTAGAGGATTTATTTCCTGTCGCTTTCGTGCGACAGGACCTAGGCTTCAAGAAGGCTTGTGGTTTCAGTTTCGAGTGAGTCAGCCGAGAAGTGACTGACCCCCCACATCACAATTGTGCTCCATGCAGCCTGCTCGGGGGAAATATTCCGGTGCGGCTTCGTTTGGAGATTCTCGTTACTTGGGTTTTAGAGGGAGGTCCAGGTAGGCAGCACTGCAAAGTGCAGTCTTATGGTGGGGCTGGCCTTGTTGTGAAACCCCTTTGGCGTCGTGTCCCAGGCCGATTGCAAACGCTCGAAGCAGATTGAGCCTCGAGCATCCCGATGCCAAAGCCAGGAAACCCTAAACCCTGAACTTGCATGTGCAGTTGTTTCACTTTGACGTTGACTCNNGTGAGAGCCGAAACCCTGAACCCTAAGCCTTTTCGCCCAAGTCGAACGCCCGAGCAGGTCAAACTCCAGACCGCGGCCCTCAGCGACATTGGCTCCATCGCCGCTGCCGCTGGCATCTTGGGGCTCGTTAGCTCTTTTTTGACACGGCTTGGGGGGATTGGGGTTTCCAGTTCAGTGCTTGAGGGGGTTTGAGAGGATTCATTCAAACGTGTCTGGTACGTTTTTGTGGGCATGATCAGGTCCATCCGGTTGCACACGCACCAGTAGAGTGGGCCCATAACACCTCAGAGTTAGAGTACGAGTCGCGCAAAGGACCACCGCGAGGCCTCGCCCACCGTGCTTGATCCAAACCCCTGACCAGAACCCTCAACCCTACACTTGAAGCGACTGAACCCCAAACCAAAGTCATGCTGAACGGGTCACAGAAGGCTAAGCCTCAAAACCGTGTCCCGCTGCCGTGGGAGTCGATTGCAGGCAGAAGCCTCGAGCGAACAGCGCGGGAGGCCGCTTTGGGCCTTCGGAGGGCCAACCAAGGAGGGGACGAGTCCCGCTGTTGATGCCCATGACGAACATGGATCGCTGCTAGTGGGGTAAAAATTTGTAGAAATAGCACTAATTGTAGCAGTAGCAGTAGTAGTAGTAGTAGTAGTAGTAGTAGTAGTAGCAGGTGCAGGATTTGAGTCTGGGTTCAAAAAGTAGCAGTAGCAGTAGCAGTAGTAGTAGTCGTAGTAGTCGTCGTCGTCGTCGTCGTAGTAGTAGTAGTAGTAGTAGTCGATAGTGGACGGCTATTGCTAGTGCTTCTGCTACTGCTACTGCTACGATGCCGCTGCTTCTGCAACTGCCACTGCTACTGCTACAGCTACCGCTACTGCTACCGCTCCTCTGCTGCTGCTGCTACTACTACTACTACTACTACTACTACTACTACCACTACGACTACTACTACGACTACTGCTACGGCTACGGCTACGAATACGGCTACGGCTACGGCTACGGCTACGGCTACGCTGCTGCTGCTACTGTTGCTGCTGCGCCTGCTGCTGCTACTGCTGCTGCTGCTGCTGCTGCGACTACGGCGACGGTCACTGCTACAATTGTCATGATTACGCCAGTGCCTCTGTGACGGCTAGTGATAGCACTGGTGCGAGTGCCAATGCTAGTGCCACTACCAGCATTGCCACCACAAGCACCGCCTGTAACCTACCAAACGAGGACTGCCGTATGGCTTGTGGCCGGTAAGAGATGAAAGGAGTTGTGGTGGTGCGCATGTAGCTGACTCACAGTCTTCTTTCGTGCCATCGGTTTCAGTTGGCCTTGGGGCACTCTTCCGCTCGGCTGCGAGCATACAGTGACCTACAGCGGGCTGTCCGAGGAGTAGTCTGAAACCCAAGGTCTCAACGGCTTAAGCCTAAACTCATGCGGTCAGCCGAGACCCGACACCCAAAGCTCTAACAAGCCCCCAGGAGGGTGCACCGCCGAGAATGGGCAGCGGCACTTCGGACTTCCAGGCTCAAGATGATGCCTAGTTTGCACAGGAGAAGCTTCAAAAGGTATGGGTGGACATACTTGCCTTATGGTCCTTGTATGCCCTTGTCAAAGGATACCCCCAGCGTATGTCGGAGTGTGGTGATTTGCAGTTTTGGGCTGCGGGGCTACTCCTGTCAGCTTGCAATCGCCGTCGAGCAGAGGACAGAGCAACAAAAGCACGCAGCAAAATCCTGAGCCGTGGGCGCTCCTCCAAGGGATGTAAGGCACTCCCTCCGGATAGCAGCGCAAGAAGCGCATTACACTAATGACACAATGGCACCAACCAGACATGGCAACAATAGTGGAAGGATAGGAGGCATTAGCTATTGCGACAGCTTGTCCTTGTCCTTTGGTTTCTGATCCTACTGCCATTCTGACCCGAAGCCCTGCTTACACAACCTCCTCCAAGACCAGGACCGTCCCAAGCATCGCTCTCAAAACTCCCGAAGGGTCGAAGCGCCTTAACAGCGCCCCCAAGCGGCCCAAACCCTGCTACCCCCAAAATCCGTCAAGGAATCACCCTAACGACGCCCTCGTGAAGCTTATGCACCCGTCTATGCCAGGGCCCTGCCCGGGCGGCCTCGCCTGTGCCTGTGGCATCCATGGCTATGCCACGGGTGACTTGGCAGTTGGAGGGAAAAGGGTTCAGGCTTCAGTTTCTTTCATGTGATCAGCCGGCTTCAAGCTTTTTGTTTGGTGGCTTCAAGTGGTTTTTGCTGTCATACGATAGCTGTCAGTATCATTTTGGTGCTGTTGCGCCATGATTCCTTATCACTTTGGTCAGGGTTTCTCGCTGTGTCGGCCGTTCTTCTGATCTTGTTAGTATGGTTTCGGCATGGATGGCAATGGTATTGGAGGAGTGATAGCAGGTGTAGCCTCGGTAGGAAGTTCTGGATGCGCCCTCGGTTAAAAGCCTCGGCGCGGGAGCTCCAAGCGTCGCGACACCAGAATGACCCAAGTTGAGGCCATAGATTCGAATCCGAAAGGAATCCGTTCAAGCACGGAGGAGAAAGACTCGTCTAAACGGATCGGATGTGCATTGTAAGAACCCCTGCTGAAAGGGATCCCGACGCCTGAGTTTCCGCTTGTCCATTTCGGCTTAAGACAGCAAGGGCTGCATTTTATGGTTGGAACTGGCAAGACTGCATCGGTACTATCAAGAACAGTTTCATGTGTGCCATGATCTGCATCAACTTCTTTTGGGATGGTTTGAGCTTCTGTTTCATATTTAGGGCTCTCGCCGGAATCCTCTGGCCTGCCTGACATGGAGCGCATCCTGACGTGTATCTACAACATCCCCATTTGCGGTGGCTTCTGTGCTCCGACCCAGAGTCCGGAGAAGGGAATCCTCCGCCACTTCTCGAATGAGTACACCTTGCCATTGGCTGGGGTCTTCATGAAGCTGCGTGGCTGCCTTGAGACGAATCCATGCTGCCGACACTGCGGTGCCACGGGCATCGCTTTCGGCAGAGCTCATCGGCGTGGGCTCATGGTCACATCCTTCTGGATCTCTTTCATCGCTTGGCTTCTGAATATCTACGCGGTGCTGGCGTTGTCCCACAGCGCCGAGGTGTTGAAGGCCACTGCCTGGGCCACCGGCACGTTTGGGTATGGCGGGCCGTATTTGGGTGCAAAGAGCTGGGTTGGACTTGGTGGCCGGGTGGATGAAGTGGACTGCGGGATGTCTGAGTACACCGATGGCTGCAACAAGTGGTTCCGCGAAAATGCGGAGTTGATGAAAGAGGTAAGTCCGGGCCTTTATCGACGAGTTGTATCCTTCGGAAACACCAAGTCTTGTGCTGGCAACATTGTCTATCACAACGCGAAATTGGCAGACCTCGTTGCCGCGGCCACTAATGAAACGGTCTACGCTGACACCGAGATGTGCGAAGGTTGTGAGAAGTCTGCGGGCAACACTGTCAGCTTCGCTATCATGGGAATTATCACGCAGATACCGCAGATGACAACGGATCTTCAGCGCTCTACCCGGTTCGGCGACGTCAACTGCCAGGCGACGATGGGAGCGATCACATCCTGCTGGGGCACCTTCAGTGGCCTCACTTCCTTGACCTCTTTCAGTTACTCCTGCTGGAGGAAATTTCCCCGGCTGGTGCGCGACAAGGTGGGCGACATCGAGTACAAGTGGAGCATGGGCCCAGGGTTTGCTTGCATGCTCATTGCCACGGTCCTCAAGCTCTGGGATGCCCTGGCACATGCCATGGTGCCCACTCCGACGGCCAGGCAGACCAAGCCGCCCAAGGGTGTCGAGCTCTTCGAGTACATGAATATGGCTGAGAAGCCACAGTCCGAAGAATCTGAGGGGTCCCACACAGAGGATTCCGACGAAGTCTAGGCCCTACTTCAGATTGGTATTAGCTTCAGGGGCCCTCACAGCCGAGTTTTCGTTTTGATTGGATCCTCGGCTGCGGGCACGGAAAGCCAGTTTTGTCGCAGAGCCATGCTGCTTGAAACCTGGAGGATTTACACAGGTTTTTGGCACAAGTTTCCGGAACCTGGAAAAGGATGGGTGTTGACGAATTGTGCATCTTGTTTCCGTTAACCCTATGGCGGTCTTAGGACTCAGAACTTGCATCGTTGGTTCAACACTATGAGGCGTCGCAGATAGATGCAGGTGGGCACTTGTTTGCCTCAATGCTCGTGACCACGCCTTGCGGCCAACAGAGTCGCTTATAGTCGCTTGCTGGAGCGTCATCGCAGGAGATGCTTGCAACTGCTCGTCTACAAACCTGCGTGCGAGGTGCGAGAGCATAATTCATACGCCCAAAGCCTCTAAACCGAAGCTCTAAACCCGGAACTCTGAACCCTACATGGCAGCTTTTTGTCTCGCGCGTGGTTATGCATCATCTCTTGTTGGTCTCTCCAGCGTGCTCTTCGTCGGTTTTTGTGACGGAGCCGCGCCCGGATGATAAAACAGAGCCACGGTTTGGGGTTCAGCTGCTGCGAAGCCTTGCCTACACAGCGCTAGTGTGAAAGTCTTGCACCACTTGCTCCCAAACTTGTCATAGAAGCCAGAATCCCTTAATTGAAGTTCCTTCTGATAATTGTTAGTTCTCGGATGTATGTATGTATGTATGTATGTATGTATGTATGTATGTATGTATGTATGTGTGTATGTGTGCATGTATGTATGCATGTATGTATGTATCTATGTATGTATGTATGGACGTATGTATATATGTATGTATGTATGCGCGTGTGTGTATATATATATATATACTTTTATACAAACATGTACAATATG